AGGAAACCTCCCTGAGGCGCTGGATGTGGACGCAGGGAGACAGGAGCATCTGGGAAGAAAGCAGTCCCCAACCAGCCCTTGTCTGGGCAATGGGGGTTGTATTTGGGTTTGCAAACCCCCTGTGCTGTGGTACCCGAGTTTCTCGGGCAGGGTGCGTGCCTTCCGTCCCTGCCACCGCTCACAGCCCGCAGGCACGGAGGGAAGCACACCATCTCTGCCCAGGTCCCCCAGCCCTGCTGGCAGAGGGTGATAAGCATTTTGGGGACATGATCTCACTTACATGGTGCTGATACGTTGCTTTGGGCCGGGGTGGTGCCGACGCGCACTGCACAACGCGTGCTTCTCCCTCCTCGGGGATGAGGGAGGAGGGGAGCACGTTGCAGAACGATGCCGGGCAAGGAGAGTGGGTTTGGAGCCAGCTCCAGAGGGTTGGTGGCCCGTGGTGTGTGGGCAAAGGGGATCCCTCTGCTCGTGGAGCCGGTGGGGTGTCTGGCAGTGGGGAGCACAGGCTGGGATCTCTGCAGAGGTGCGTGTGGGCATGGCTGCGCTGGGAGCATCCTGATGGGCTCTGCTTGGAGCATTGGTGGCCAGGGCTGGGAGGGCTGGAGAAAACCTGGCCCTGTGCACAGTCCTGGCTCTGCCTCTGCTTTGGTTGCCTCCTCACCTTGTCCCTCCCCAGGCTCCTGCCAGGGAAGAAGAGTCCGCCGAGACCTGGCCCTGCCAGTGCCAGTCCCTGGGGCACGTGCTAAAGACAAACCCTCCCACTCTGTGTCATGATGGTAATTGCGCTAACGATAGACAGCTGATAGATGCAGCAAAGGGCCATGTCCCGTGGGCTCCCGGAGGGGAAATGCCCAGCAGTGCTGTGGGAGAGACCCACCAGCTGAGCCCTCTGAGCCCTGACCCCTCTGGCTCAGACAGCCGTGGTGTCCCAGGGGATGCAGCCCAGGTCACCCATGATGTCCCATGTACCTCCCCGGCCCTACGGTCATCCCCTCCCACCTGGGGTGCCGGAGCCGCTGCTGACCACCCCCTCTGTCCTTGCTGTCTCTGCAGAACTCCATCCGTCACAACCTCTCCCTGCACACCCGCTTCATCCGCGTGCAGAATGAGGGCACCGGCAAGAGCTCCTGGTGGATGCTGAACCCCGAGGGTGGCAAGACGGGGAAGACGCCTCGCCGGCGGGCGGTCTCAATGGACAACAACAGCAAGTTCCTGCGGATCAAGGGGAAAGCCAGCAAGAAGAAGCAGCTGCAGGTGACCCAGGAGCGCGGGGAGGACAGCCCTTCCTCCCAACAAGCCAAGTGGTCGGAGAGCCCCGCGTCCCATGCCAGCGACGAGTACGACGCCTGGGCGGACTTCAGGACGCGGGCCAACTCCACGGCCAGCACGCTGAGCGGGCGTCTCTCGCCCATCATGTCCAACCATGAGCCCGATGAGCTGGAGGAGGACGACGGTACCCCCTCCTCTCCACTGATGTACCCCAGCCCCTCCAGCACCATGTCTCCTTCCCTCAACGCCCGCTGCTCTGTGGAGCTGCCCCGGCTGACCGACCTGACTGGCACCATCAGCCTGAACGAGAGCCTCGGGGAGAGCATGCTGGAGGACCTGCAGGACGGCTACACCATGAGCCCTTCGCAGCAGCTCCCCCCGGCTGCCCTGCGGCAGCGCAGCTCCAGTTTCACCTTCAACTCCAAGTGCTCCACCATGGGGGCTGCCACCAACACCTACTGCGGGACTATCTACAGCCAGCCGGCCATGAGCCTCATGCGCCGCCTGCCCATGCAGACCATCCAGGAGAACAAGCAAGCCACATTCTCGCCTGTCAGCTCCTACAGGAACGCCTCGCTGCAGGACCTGCTCTCCTCCATCTCCTACGCGCACAAGGAGAGCATGGTCCCGGGGGACCTGCCCCTTCCGCAGGCCAGCCCCATGGTGCCGGCCCGTGGCCACAGACACAACCCGCTGCTGTGCGGGAGCGGGGAGCAGGGTTTGTCCTCCTACCCGTCCCACTCGGGCTCTCTCATGAAGAGCAATGCTTTGTACCACCCGTCACCAGCCAGTCACCACCCTGCGGTCAACACCAGTGCCTTAGCTAATCCTGTCAGCCTTATGAGCTTGCCCAGTGACACGTGCAGCATGACAGCCATGCCGCACCACGGGCATCTGCATTCCTACGCTAATAACCAAGGGGCACACATGAGCTTGCTGGATTCGCTGCAGGGCCCCTACCCGGGGGCTGTCCACCCCCCCGTGTTGGGCCAAGACAGGTTCCCAGCAGACCTGGACCTGGACATGTTCAACGGGAGCCTAGAGTGCGACGTGGAGTCGATCATCCTGAATGACTTTATGGACAGCGATGAGATGGACTTCAACTTCGACTCGGCTCTCCCGCCGCAGAACGGGCTCAACGTGCCCGCGCTGCCTGGGGGTCCGCAGCCCACGAACCAGAGCTGGGTGCCCGGGTGACGCCTGCCCCGGGGAGGGGGGGCTCGCCACTGAGAAGCCACGAGGGGAACATTGAGACTAACTTTTTTTTTTCCTTTCTCTTCTGCCTTTGTTTGTTAAGATGGGCTAGAGCCAACAGTCTGAGCTTGAGGTCGAACACGAAACACAAACCGTAGGGTCCAATATTGAGGTGGGGTGGGGTAGGGCCCCCAGTCCACACGTGTGCCCGATCTGCTGGGTCCTCCTGCGAGCATCCTCTGGAGGACGCCGGGCAGGCGGGCGGGAGAGGCAACCAGAGCCAGGATGGTCGGGGGGGGGGGGAGCTGGAAGGGAAAGCCTTTCCAGATGGTCCCAGTGCCCGGCTGCAACGGTGCCGGTTTGATTTGTCCATGGGCTGGTGACGGAGCAGTGACGGCTGGTGGTGTGGGAACCCCCTTCGTGGGCACCCCTCCCTGGAAAGGGACCCTTTCCTCTGAGCCACTGTGGAAAATGAGTCCTCTGAGTAGAAGTGTCAGGAGCAGGGACCCTGCCTCAGGGCAAGGAGAGGCTTGTCACCATTAAATAAATCCTGGTGGAGATCTGAGCTCTGCCAAGCCCACAAGCCCAGGCCACCTCCACCATGGGTCTCCTTGCGTGGCTCCAGGCAGGTTTTCTTACCAAGCGGTGAGAAGGGGGGTTGGCAATGGAGGGAAGGCTGTGCAACCCGCTGCCCTGAGGACGGCATCTCGGCAGCACACATTCCCACCGGTGTCTGGGGATGCCACGATCATGCCTGCCCATGGGAAAGCTGCGGTGCCCTGCCTCGAGCAGGCATGGACACGCTCCTGCGTGGGGTGGTCCTGCTGGGAGTGACGTGCTGCTGGCCAGGGTCCCCTGTGCTCCGGGCTCAGGGGGGGCTCACAGGGTAGGGGAGGGGAGGGGCGTATTTATTTGATTTCATGCACTCTTTTGCCATTGAGTTTTTGCATTGGAAGGAAGAAAGGGTCGAGCTTGGGGAGAGGAGGAGAGAGGCTGTGAGCAATGCGTCGCCCCATAGCACGTCTCTTCTTGGCTCGGCCGTAGCATTGGGTGTTGGATGGTGGGGTGGAAGTGTGGGGGTTGTGGTGTGGGTCATCCCCCAGAAGGAGGTGTGTGTGCGTGTGGGGAGGGGAGGGACGCGGTGGCCAGGCCTCTGGAGGCAACGTGGGGTCCACTCTGCCCAAGCCTGGGTGAGCCACACTGCTATTCTTCCCTGTGCAGAGCTCAGGGAGGTGCCACAGGGCTCACAGTCGGGGCTGTGGGACTTCTGGGGTGTCACTGCTGGGTTCAGGAGGAACTCCAGCCAGCAGCCAGCATGCCTGTCCTGGAGGGCTCACTGCCCATCCCCAGGATGAGAGGAGAGCTGGTACAGGGGGGATGGCAGCAAAAGGGGTCAGCCCTGGTGTGCCCATCTACCGAGGGCCAGTGCTCCGTGGGGATGGGGATGAGTCGCACATGGTCCTGGTGTGTGTGTGGAGCCCACAGCGGCCCCATTGCTCTGCGGGGCAGGGGTGAGGCAGGGACCCACCACCACCCTGCGCAGCCGGGGCGAGGGCTGCCTGCTGCGGGGCATTTGGCCCTCTGCGCATCGGGGGCTTGGGAGCAGGGCGGGCAGGGTGGTGGGCAGCTGGAGTGGCTGGTCCAGAGGAGATGGTGGGGCTGGGAGGAGAGGCTGTGGAGATGTTGCTCTGTCCCATGGGGCTCTCTGCACAGCCCATCTTCCTTTTGGGCACCACAAGCTTTCTCTAGACCCCCTGCCCCCAGGATGCAGCAAGGGTTAGTTCACTGAACCAGCACATCGTCCTGGCCCAGCTCTTCCCTTCTCGCTCCAGCACCACCTCCTCTACCGCGGTGCGGGCGCCGGGTCCCACTGCAGAGCCGGGGCAGTGTGGGACCCGTGGGTGGGCACCTCCACTCCTCTCCTGACCCACCTGGCTGTGGCAAAGCGTGACAGAGGAGCCCCGTGTGCCACCGTTCACCTTTGCCCTGGGCACACACACGGCTGGCATAGTCTCTAAAGACATTCTTACAGGTTAATTAATTATGTTTACATTATTTGATCATGTACAGAATTTAATATATTCTATTATATATAATCTTTCTTGAATGCTTTTTTAAAAAGGATTATTCTTTGGTCAGGATCATTACCGCATTCGTTTTATACACCACCTCTCGTTTCAGGCGTATTTAAAATCATTTGGAAACGTTTGCAAATGGCTATTGAATCCCCGGCACCCCAACTCCGCACAGGGGGTGCGAAGGACCGCTAGCGAGGAGAGGCAGGGAGGGGCAGCTGGGGCTGTGGCGGGAGGAAAGGGGGGCTCTGCCCCCCCAAGCATGGGAGAAAGGGAAGGGGGTCCTGGCTCTTCCAGGCGTCCGATCTCCAGGCACACATCCAGCAGCACACCAGCACGCCGGGCGGCGCGGTCCAGCCGGGGCTTACCCCACCAGTCAGGCATTTGAGGATGGGATGCTCAGGCATGGGGACCCC